TTCTGGGTTCAGGACACCCTTCTTTGTATTTCGCGATGGTCTACAATCACATACTTCGATGGTCAATCGTTTCCAAATCATAAACCAAAGTTGAAGTGAGACTTACAATGAACCTATCACGACACAGATAAAAAGATTTCAATTCTTACCGTCTGCATTTACCCCATGCATCTGAGCTTTCTTCGCAAACGGAGACATATGATTCGGATCGAAGGACAACCTCCTCGCCTGAAAAGCGATTGAGTTGCATGCCATCTGTACTTCCCTGGAATCAAAGGTCGTCAAGGTCGCTAGTTGCTCCTCAATCGCTTGCGACGAGATGTTATCGAATAACCCGTCCGTGGCGACCAATATGAGATCGCCAACTTGTACCTGGAACGAGGTAGTCTCGGCGGAATCAGGACTAAAACGCATACAGACACTTTCCATTATTAAACCAATCAAACCAAACGAAATCTCTCAGAATATGTAATCAGTATATGCCAAAATTCATTAGGTCTCAAATTTTAATAATGAATCTATCAATATAAAGCAGTGATAAAATCGAAACATTGCAATGCAGCAGACAAAAGTTCAATTTCGTGCTACAGATGCCCTTTTCACGAGATCATGTAAACAGTATATAATAAAGAACATGGCCAGGCCATGGATAAGAAAAGATTTGTTAGGCTAAGTCGACTTAAGATTTAATAAGACATTCAACATACACATTTCAGCTGCCGCAGTCACGCTGTGTGTACCTTTACACAATAACAGGCAGAATTTATATAATAAAAAGTGTATAATGACAATTTTGAAAATGATCGCTGTTTGTGTGACCCGTTGAAACCCTATTTTATGAAGACCTCGAAAAAGAAGGGAATCAAGATCAGCGAATACTAACATTCCAATTATACGTAATTAGTTTTAATTTGTTCCTTTTGTACCTTGTGCGCATTAACAGCAACCTGCGGCAATATCTTTGTGTAGTATGTGTTAAAAGTCACTTCAATTCTCCATATATACGTGACCGCTGTAGGAAAGGTTCTTCATCAGGGCGTGGCCATTTCCTTTCTCAATAAATTAAAAAAAGTATAGGTTATTTACAGAAACACTGGTTCTATGCTGCACTCTATAAATAGTGCAAAACAATTTTTAACTGCCTCCAGTTCTTCGTCCAAACGAAAACACTGCACCTGGAGTGGCTTCGACCGTAGGCATGGGATAAATACATAGATGATCTCCGGAAGTGAACAGCGTCACGAATCATTCAATTTACACTTTTAACTAAAATTTATTATTATGCTGGTTTACACCCAGGGTAATAACGGTATGTACGTTTGTATGTATAAGGCCGTTTGCTGAATGTCATAAGTGGTGCCCTGGCGATGCAGTGGAACAGGTAACAAAATGGGATTAACTTTAGCATTAAAGTGTCAACAGGCAACAGACCCAGAAAATATCAAACAATTTATTAATATTCATTTAAATTTAATAAATTTTCATAAGCCTAAGTTTAACTTGATATCACTTTGAAACTTCCTCTGGAAAGCAATTTATTACGTTCAAGACGTCGAAAATTCCACGGCACACAATGTCTTCTAGTTGTTTGAATTATTTTCCAAGTGTTACAAATTGAATCTTGTTGCACAACAATTGCTTTCCTTCAGCCGGTAGGAAGGAAGAAGTAATTCAGTGCTGTCAGTTAATGCTGAATGCTGGAACTCCAGCACATCGACAACTGGTATGCTGAACAGAGAAACTAAGTCGAAACATACTCTCATGATGACGCCTTATCATCAAATTGCTAGTCCTTTAATTTTATCCTTGCGTGGGCTCTACAAGTTTATAAGGGTAGGAACTAAGCTAAATGACGCATTGGAGGATTGCTATGACTGATCGAGGAAGTTTGTCGTTTGGATAGTTTACAGATTCTCACAGAATCAAGTAAGCATTTCCAAGTAAGGATTCTGAAAAAGCTTGAAACTTAATCTCAGGAGTATCATCACCTTCCGTAAAAACGAATTTAGCAGTACATATTATTGCTCATGTCTTGCCATGTGAATTAAACGAACCTGACTGCGCACGCACAACGCAGGACAGTGTAAAAAGCTCGAACCCAAGTGGTCACAAATATACCTGTCAGTGAAGAAGACATCCTGCTGCTGGTTCGGAAGAAGCGTCAGCTGAAAGGGTGCGTTGAAGTAATGCTGCTGCTCAGAGGAGCGATGAACAATCGTGCCATTGCGGACAACGACAAAACCCGAATCGCCAATGTTCGCCGTGTGTATCTTGCTGTTACTGCGGTCGAGCACGACGACGCATGCAGTGCTGCTGCCGACGACAGGTCGCCTGAACGTCGACGACTGGGCGGCCAGCTTTTTGTAGGAATTGGCGATTAACTGGGCCGGCATGGTCGGCGTAAACTGACCACTGAGGACCATCTGTGCACAGATGCGCATTAGGTATCGAGAAAAGCGAGACGGATCAATGCCGTATGAGTGCCAGCCTCCAACGCCATCCGCCACTCCTAAATCAAGGCATGAAAAAATGTGACATGTGCGAACCCAAACCCCACGTTCTACGATAATAAACTGATCAACAGAGACTTCCAAAATCTAATTCAATTCAATTTCTATAACCCCATCTCCTTTCGGGTCGTAGAGGCCGATACAGACAGTGCTTCCAACATTAACGAGAATTCATCTGACTTTCAGCAGAAGACAACGGGAGCCTAGAGTAGAGAGAGATTTTCAGTAACCTTGGCCCAAGTTAATACTGGCCGACCCTCTGGTCTTCTACCGCCCGATCGACTGGACAAGCAGTAGTTGCTTCATCCTTTCTGGAGACATTCGAAACACGTGCCCAAACCATCGCAGCTGTGACTTGTCAATCTGAAGAAACAGCGGTTATATATAAAGATATCCACTCGGATTTCCGTACTCCGGCCAATGTCGAAGCGCATAAGGCCAACGACTCGTCTCCGAGAGCCCATTTCAGCCGCTTGGTACCCAAGATCAAAGTTTTATAGTAATGGCCCAAGACTCATGACCGTAGGTAAACATGGGGATGAAGATCAATTTGAACACCGAAAGCTTAGTCTATATTCTTACTCAGCTCTGCTTTAGTCACAGTGGTTCCGGCGATTAGAATCCGTCGGTCCATCTCTTCATCTAAATTTCCATCATTATTGCCATCAGTAAAATTTTAACTTCTCCACCTGCTCCACTGCTTCTTCGTTTATCTTCAGACCGCAACCGGCATGAAAACGAGAAAGCACCAAGATTTTCGTTTTAGATGCGTTTACACGCATGCCAGCAGTCGCATTCGAACTTTTCTACGGAACGTTGTAGATCAGTTTCGGAACATACCAACAAAACAAGATCGCCTTCTAACAACAACTTTCTTGACTTAACATTTCTTACACTGATACTCTCATCGCTCTGGCTGTGTCTGATTATTCCATCACTGTACAACACAAAAAGAAGAGGGGACAGAACGCAGCCTTGGCGGAGACCAACGCTGAAAGGTTTCGACTTAACGCCATTTACTCTGACGCAGCATATACTGTCAGCATAGAATGACTGGATGGCTTGTGGAAAATGGCCATTTATCCCATATGTCTACAGACATGTCCACGGAGTGCTGCGCGGGATCTGGTCATATGCTTTTTATAGGTCAACAAAGTACATGCACATCGCATGGGCGAAATCCCACGATTTCTCAACAAACTGGCGTAGAGCGCAAATATGGCCAGAGGTGCTTCGATCGGGCAGGAAGCCACACAGCCCTTCCTGTATTTTGTAGTCAGTTATTCCGCGGCACCTTTGCGTAGACTTCACCCGGGAAGCTCAGTAAGTTGATGCCCAGATAATTACAGCACTCCTTGTGCTACAATTTCCATTTCTGAACTGGGTACTATAACCATCTCTCCAGTGCGCTGGTGTCGTTCTCTGTAGCCACTGCAGTTTTGCAGACACATCTAAGCCAGTACTTCCCCCTGTTCGCATAATGCTTCAAGCATTTCAGGGCGGATATCATCAATTCCACAAGCCTTTCGACTTTTCAAGCTTTTCACAGCTTGTGTGATTCCATCTACCGAAATAGTAATATCAGTTCCCTGCAGCTCTACAACCGAGTCTTCTGTGGTTGCTCAAAGTACTCTCCATCGAAATTCTTCATCAATTGTCATTGCTGGAATCTTTTCAAGCTGTCCAGCGATGTTGTTTGCAAATTTCGCTCTCGTGTCCAACGAAGACAGTGTTTCCCATCTGATTCTCTGGTTGCTTCTGTCACCGGATCTTCGTATGGTACTCCATTTCTTACAGCGCAGCGTGCCAACA